TTTAATACTTTTTAATAGCCTTAATTTTCGCTAAATTGATTGATCAACTTTTAATACTTTTTAAGACCCCGCGGACACCCCGATAATGGAAACTCAACTCACAAACAACCACACATGATATCCAACAGTACATTTTAGTATAGATTTATTGGTCACAACAGTCACATATTCAACATGGAGAGCCGGGGAACAGAAGCTCCTGGAGGTCTGATGGGAGGAGCTTAATGGTACTTTCTCATGCGGTCATGTTCTGGAAGAAAAGAGGTTTAAGTGTTAAAAGGTGTTTTTGTGGATGATTGGAAAGTGACATTATCTGTCCTAAAAAACAAAGAAAGCCTTCTTACTGATGTGATCGAAACTCCACACGTAGCTGAGCACCACGTAGCCAGCCAGCACCATGGAAAGACCACCGATGCCTCCCTTCTTCACGTGGATGTACTTGTTGAGGTATCTTTCATAGCCTGGGAGTGAAACGCAAACAGCATGAGGACAGAACTACATTCACATTTCATCCTCAAACTATAAAGCTCTTCATGACCTGAATACAACATGCATCGATTTGAACGTAAATAAACACGGGTGAAAGAGGAAAAGCTAGAGGCAAGAAGCTTTCACAAAGCTGCTGAGAGAGAGATTTCAGAGATTACAAGGTCTAATTAAGGCTGTTTTTGAATGACTTATTATTCAAACTGAGTTGGACGAAATATTGAGTATTCAAATAAGGGGTGAAAATGCACATTATATATATTAAGAATTGTCTTAGGAACAAATTGGGAACTACTTTCAGCCTCAGGATGTTTTGTGAATGACATGCAAGACACTGACACGACAACCTTGCAGAACAGTTGCTAGGTAACAGCATAGAACAATTTGGGGGAAATGTGCATGTTGATAAGAAAGAAAGTAGTGCTGCTCAATTAATCGTATTTTAATCGCAATTACGATTTTGGTTTGCAACGATTATGAAAACAACATAATTGAAATAAAACTTTTTTTTTGTTTTTTTTATTATTGGTTTTTCAGTTGAATTATACTTAAAGTTCAGGGTAATCAACTATTAAAAACATACTACAGTTTTTTTTTTTTTTAATAAATGGATGTTTTCGAACTAAATGGATAATAATCCATTTCGTTTTTGGTAATCGTGATATCAATTATTGACCCAAATAATCGAGATTATGATTTTTGCCATAATCGAGCAGCCCTAAAAGAAAGGCATAATTTCTGCTCGCTGAATTTTAAACCTTAAAACAGGTATGATATTTAAGATCAAATTTGTTTAGTAGGACTTTTGATTTCTTGTCAAATGAACTGCTGAAACCACTTACATTTAAAAAAAAAGAAAACGTGCTACAATCTTTGATCAGGTTTGTTTTCCCACTGCATCTTGATAATTTGATAAAGGAGGTTTCTGTATCTAAATCTTTTCTGTTACACTCGCTTCATTCTGCTACTGTTTTGATTTTAAACTAAATGGTTACTGCTGCTTCTCTATCAAATCTCTTCTCATCTAAATGGGATCGGCACCCTTTTTTTGTAATTGACCTTTTGTGACAGCTCCTCCTTTCAAGACAGAAAGTCAGAGCAGATTTCCTCACCCTTGCGGACGGAAGAGATCATCCCGTTGGGGGTGAAGTCGCGACCTCCGACCCACGTCCCAATCTCTCCCAGCTTCACCTCCATCAGACGCTTCTCAACAACGGGAACTGGTGACAAGTGGAGAGAGCAAAGACCGGGAGTTATTTAAGTCTTCTTACAGAGGTCATATACAAATATATCAACTTCAATAAATAAATAAATGGAAGTAAAAACACTGATTCCAATATAACACTCACTGGAGGTGTTCTTCAATACAAATACAAATCGATTAACTTCTTCGCTTTCCTTCTATCTTAACTAGAAGGTTAAGCACTATATGCTTGTTGTTTTTATGTATTGTATGCAACTCCATTCACCTTTGTCCTAAAGTGTATTTTCCATTGATGTACTAATGCATTGCTGCAGCACTGTATTCTACTTTCTGTAAAATTCAGAAAATACAAATAAAGTTCAAATATAACCTAATTTACCCACTGGGGATCAATAAAGTTTTTCTCTCTTTGAAAAAACCCCGCAATCAAATAAAAGATTAATGCAGCTAAAAAGGTCAATCTGCAACGGATGACATGAATGCTAACGTTACTATGAATTAAGTATTATGCCAGACCGTTCAAATCCCACTGGAAAGCAAATTCGTACTTCATGTGTTTAGTTATTAAGGAACAGTTTGTGTTTCAGGGTTAAAACAAACCGAATACAATATCAAAGTTATTGGTAACAGGCACTGAGTTTGAAGGCTACAGTGCAAGCTAGCAGAAAGAAACGGTTACATAACGTACATATGCAAAGACAACTTAATTATGACAGCTTTGCACAAAGTCACAGTCATGTTTAAAGCTTAGCATGATAGTCAATTGTCAAAAAGGGACTCCTAAATGTATTTTAAAAGCAGAAAACGAGCAATGACAAGCAAAGTCCTTGACGTGACTTAAAGGATTCAGCGGCCTACAGTCAGACAAAACCCTTAAAATGTATCCATTAACGGTCAGACAGACCATACAACACACACAGTTTGATCAAATATAAACATTTACTAAGGCAAAATCACATTATGGAGATATTTAACATATTTTAAAGCAGAGGACACGATGTTTTACCTGCTCTATCCGCCATCTTCACTGGTGCGAAGGGTTTGCAGGCAGCGGGGGATTGTGGGTAAAAAAAGTGAGAAAGTGCATTATGGGAGAATTTGTAGTTCTTTATTCAAACCGCTGGAGGGCAGCAGAAGAGATGAAACCATAGATGAAACCAGAAGTCAAAATCCAAAGCCTACATTTGTTCAAATAAATACAAATATTGCAAATAAAAAAGATACGTTTGTTAATATAGATTAATGAAGGGATTAAAGAGCAATATATCATGAAATAAAAATAGAGTATCATGGCATGAGTTTACATTGTCAGTTCTGGCGAAGGTGCTCGAACGCCTAGTGAGTGAACAAGTAAAGGAATTTTTATGTAAAAATGATATCCTGTCTAAACATCAGTCAGGCTTCAGAAAGCAACATAGCACCATCACTGCGACAATGAAAGTGGTGAATGACATTACGAGTATTTTAGATAATAAGCAGAGTTGTGCAGCTCTATTTATTGACCTGTCCAAAGCGTTTGACACCGTTGATCATCTCATCTTAAAGCAGAGGCTGGTCAGTATTGGCATATCCAGCCATGCAGTGGGGTGGTTTGTGAACTACCTCTTTGAAAGGTCCCAATGTGTTCACTTTGATGGGCTGTCTTCTGAGTGGTTAAACATTGCTAATGGTGTTCCTCAAGGTTCTGTTTTAGGTCCTTATATATATATCAACAGTTTAGGTGAAAATGTGAATGAAGCTACTTTACATTTTTATGCGGACGATACCGTTATGTATTGTGCAGGTCCCTCCATTAAAGAGGCTGGTGTTAAATTACAGGCTGTTTTTAACATTATTCAGACTCAGCTCGCTGAGCTTAAGCTTCTTTTAAATGTTGAGAAAACCAAGGTAATGCTTTTTTCAAAAGCAAAAAAGACTCCAGAGACTGCTTTGGATATTGTTACTATGCAAGGATAAGTATTAGAAGTGGTTACCTGTTATAAATACCTAGGTATATAGCTTGATGATTGTCTTTTAAACTTCAGGTCATTAATCTGCTTTAAAAGCTGAGGGTTAGACTAGGTTTCTTTTTCAGAAACAAGTCCTATTTCTCACTTGAGGCCAGGAAAAGGCTAGTCACTGTGACCTTTTTACCTGTTACCTAGTGATTTGATCTATATGAATGCATCTGCCCATTGCCTGGAGAAGTAAGATGCCGCCTATCACAGTGCTCTGAGATTTGTTACTAACTGTAAAGCACTTACTCATCACTGTACCCTGTATGCCAAGGCAGGTCTGCCTTCACTAACTGTACGGAGGCTCAGTCATTGGTACATTTTTATAAAGCCATGTTGGGTAAACTACCAACTTATATATGCTCTTTGATCTCACAGAGAGTGGCAAGTAGCTATTGCCTGAGATCCCAGGATGTGTTATTACATGTGCCAAGTGCTAGGATTGTTTTAGGTACTAAAGCTTTTATGTGTGCTGCTCCTCTAGCTTGGAACACTATGCACATTTTTTTTAAACTGAGCATTTTGGTTCCCTTGCATCATTTTAAAGAGCCTGTGGATAGATTAAATGTTATTTGATACCTGTTATTGTGAATA